ATGAAAATTAATAGACCTTCTCTAATGTCCATGTAGGGTAAAAGACCTTGCCTAATGTCCATGGAAAGCAATAGACCTTCTCTAATGTCGACAGATAATAATAGACCTTACCCCAATATCCATGGAGACAATTATAACAAAATGGAGAAAAAAAAACGTCAAGATGCATTACGTTCCAGGAAACTAATACATTTGCATTGATTTATTTGTTTCATTTTAATGTTTGATCATTTGGTCAGATTTTGTGAGGGAAGTACATTTTAAATGTGCTGAGAACACTTATATATTTATGGATGGATGGATGTTCAGATGATGTAATGTTTAGTGTTCAGAAAGAGAAATCAATGAGCCAAGTTCAAATTCTTTTCAAGGTTGTTGCATTCACTTTCACACAAATACCCTTGGGAAAGTTGTGAATCATTCACTTTTCCCCAGCTATGGGTTAAATAGCGGTCAGACTGGGCTATCACCCCTTGGTTGTCAAACAGTCTATACAAACCTAAGGAATGAAGATTTTGTGGGGCATTGTGCACCATTTGCTCAGTTATTAGTTCCTTCTAAAAGTATGGCTGATTCTAGCCAACACTTAACCATTATAATTACTTCATCACTGTAGGAAGATTATAGTTTGGTGTGGTTTATTTTGTTTTACTGCATATCAACCTCAATGGGTTATTTAATGCCGACATGATTTTTATTGCTGGTAATATTTTTTTCAAAAATGTATTGCTGGTAATAATATTTTTCCTTCAAAAATCTATTTCTGGTAATATTTTCTCTTCAAAAATGTATCGCTTGCAATTTTTTTTTTTTTCAAAAACGTTTAGCTGGTAATATCTTTTTTTCAAAAATGTATTGCTGGTAATAATTTTTTTCTTCAAAAACTTATTGCTGGTAATAACTTTTTTTACAAAGTATTTCTGGTATTAAAACCTATTTTTACACTTTCAGTGTTTTGACACCAGTTTGGGGGGTTAACTATTTGCCCATAGCTGGGACCCTAACAGGCGCTACCACCCCAGGTCAGCAATTAAGAGGTGGTTCCATGCTCCTCAAACCCTCCTGATCAGAGGCCTTGATGTTGGATGTAGTTTATCGTCTTACCCAGGATGGAGATGTGGTTTATTTTCATACCCAGTGCGCGGATGTGGTTTATCGTCATATCCAGTATGGGGGAAGATAAAAGGTTCAATTCTAAACAAACTGTTGGGCCCTCATAAATCAAAAACAAGCAGGAGAGTTCACTAACAAAACTGCTCTCTTTTAATCATCAGAGAGAACCACATTTGCCTTCCATCAGTATGGTTCATGCTAACTTCCAAGAGAGCTACTCATTGTGCCTTCTTGGTCACACATTTTCCTGTTGCAATTATCTGGTCTGTTCAGTTGTGTATTGTAAACGCCTCTAGACAGTTGATATGCTTTGTGACTTAATCTGCTTCCTTAACGACTTCAAAACATTCCATATTTCAAAGTATACTTTACTGCTTACTTTGTTCAGTTCAAATTACAATAACTTCGTCACCTGAGATGAAATTATTTAAAATTACGGTAAAAATACATTATTTATATTATTCAGACACATGGCACAGTGGATAAAGGCGTTGGTTAGATCCAGTGACAGGACCCAAAGAGTGTGAGTTCAATACCCGGTTAAGGCAGTGGAGAACTTTCAGAGGGGAATTAACAGGAGATAACTGATAACTGACATCCATTAACCATGGCACGAACATAGTAGAAGAATCTACCCCAGTGAGCGAAATAAAGGGTTCAGTTCGACATTCCAACCACCTGAAGAAGGTCGGAGTGTACAACGGCCAAAATGTTGTAATAAATATTGTGACAAAGATGAGGACAATAGTCTGAATAATGTAAATAATGTACATAATACCTCATCTCAATATATAGAAATATAGACAGATACGGTAACTGACATCCATTAAACATGGCATGTGGAACTAGAACAGTCTACTCCAGTAAGCGAAATAAAGTGTTCAGTTTGACATTCCAACTGCCTGAAGAAGGCCGGAGTGAACAATGGGCGAAATATTGTAATAAATATGGCGACAAAGATGAGGACAACAGTCCAAATAATGTACATAATACCTCATCTCAGAAATATAGACAGATACGGAAAAAGTCTAGGAAACAAACGCTTCAAAAATAACATTTTTAATTAATCTTTTTTTCTTTTTTTTTTCTTTTTTTTATAAATCTAACATTCATCCGTACATTGAATATCGTTGGCATATCTGTTCTGGAACTCCTGTAATATATCATGAGATTCTTGAGAAAAAAAAAAAAGTTTCTGTAATGTTATTGGTCCTGACCTGGCATCACAGTTTCAATCATTTTCCCTCTACTCTGACTTAACTTCCCTCTGTCCTTGCTATAAATAATTTCATGGCAATTGTTCTAATGAGCTTTCTGCTTTAATACCTTGACAGTTTGGTAACTAGATCTCAGAATTTTACTGCTGAAAATTGGTAAATGTAAACTATAAGTTCTATTCTTTTCTCACACTTCTCGCCTGTGGAACTCTCTTCTGATTTCTTGCTTTCCTGTTACCTATGATCATCAAAAGATTAAGTTCAACATCAGACACTATCTTCTGTCATCCTGAAACCGGTTCTTTTATTGTACTTTCTTCTCACTAAAGACGTTTCCTTCCTTTTCACTCCCAGTAGCATCTTAGCAGAATTATTGCCTTATTGCCTTACTTGGGATGAAATGATTATATATATATATATATATATATATATATATATATATATATATATATATATATAAGTGAACATTGAAGTCAACACTCAGAGCTGGTTGTACAAAGGTTTGAAATGATTATATATATATATATATATATATATATAATATAAAAGTGAACATTGAAGTCAACACTCAGAGCTGGTTGTACAAAGGCTTCAAATTTTGGTGTATATTTTTTAATCATTTCACTTTAAGGAAGGCAATAAAGCTACTATGACACCACAGTTTACTGAGAGCAGATATATGAAAAATAAAACATTATTAAGGAGAGAGAAGAATAAAAGAATAGAAATTAAGACGACAGAAGATAATGATTGACATTGCATTTAAATTTTTTAAGGTCAAAGTTGACTGGAAAGCAAGACATCAGAAGGGTGCCATCCATTCACTCAAGATCACTTAACATGTTATGCATTGTTTTTCTCTGTCTTTCTTGTCTTCAATTTGTCCTGTGAGAATCAAGTTTTCCAAGCCCTCTTTCCTTATTATGTGCTCTAGAAACCTCAACTTCTTCAAATATCTTCTTGATGTTAACTGTATGTTTCTAAATTTTTAATTCACTCATAAAAGAAGGAAAGAATTAGCCTTACAATCCAAATTTAAATAACTCACAAAAGTTGATAATCCATAACAAAACAATAAATGAATCAAACATGTATAAAAGAGGGATTGCTGCCCAAATGCACAATTATTTATATATATATATATATATATATATATACATAAAAAGAAATATACTCTTAAGGTATGCTATATTTATGGGATAAAGTACTCAATATCAGAGATAGAGCGTGTGTAAATATAAAACTGAACATTGAAGTCAACACTTAGACAGGCTGTTTCATGCTCGATGCAATCATCAGGCTGCTTGACGATAGTGTCTAGCATGAAACAGCCTGTCACCTCTGAGTGCTGACTTCAATGTTCACTTATATATATATATATATATATATATATATATATATATATGTATGTATATATATTTTAAAGAAAAACAGACCACTTTAAGATACCATTATAATAATTTATTTCACCAGAGCCCTTTTAAAGGATGCTGGATCATCAGATAGAACTTCCAAAAATGAAATGAAAAACATGCCTATGAATGTTGACTTCAGACTCCATTTTATATTTATATTTACATATGTTCTATCCCTTATATTGACCACTTTAACCCATAAATATACCATACCTTAAAGCTATATTTTATCACACACACACACACATATATATATATATATATACTGATCCTTTCCAGTTGTCTAATCAGTTTCTTGATGTTGAGATGAGATCCATCAAGGAAGCCTGCAAAGTTCTTTTTTTTTTAAGCCAAGTACTTTCAACCTTTTCTAAGGTCATCTTTTAGGTGTAAATTACAATCTTAAGTCTTAATATTAAGAAACTGATTAGACAACTGGGAAGGATCAGTATAAAAATAAGTAGACATAATATGCTTATATTATTTAATGAAACATGTTTGAATGAAGATACACTACCTAAATATATATATATATATATATATATATATATATATATATATATATATATATATATACATATATATATATAATATTTTCATTATATATATAATGATAATATTAGTATTCACTATGGATATTTCAATATATGCACATATATATATATATACATATATATAGTTAAGTTTCTTTAACTACTCCTCTTACACTCACTGTTAAATTGCAAAAACTTACACTACCCATCAATTTTCATTTCATTTTTCGTTTCATTTTTGGAAGTGCTATCTGATGATCCGCATCCTTTAAAAGGGCTCTGGTGAAATAAATTATTATAATGGTACCTTAAAGTGGTCTGTTTTTCTTTTAATATATATATATATATATATATATATATATATATATATATATATATATATATATATATTGAACAAAGGAGATTGAGGTGTCTACAACTGGAACTGGTTAGTCACTGTTTCAGATGATTATGCTCAGAAAACAAGAGTTGCTGGTCATTTTGTGTGTGTGTGTGTGTGTGTGTGTGTGTGTGTGTGTGTGTGTGTGTGTGTGTGTGTGTGTGTGTGTGCATATCTATAAAATATATGCAAATATATTTACATATGTAAGTGTGTAATCTATACTGTCTCCAACCAAAATGTACACACACTTTATTTGATCATAGCAACCATTATTATTTCCTGAAACTTAATTAAACATGTTCACATCAAAGAATAAATTGTGTAATGAAATATATCAAATTTAAGAGGTTTGCTGTAAAGAGGTTTGGGTAAAAGAACTTTTACAGAACCCCAGCATAGACAAACAGACAAACTGATAGATAGATAGATAGATAGATAGATAGATAGATAGATAGATAGATAGATAGATATGAACAGACTAAGATAGATAGATCTGAACACACTAAGATAGATATGAACAAACTAAGATAGATAGATAGATAGATAGATATGAACAGACTAATATAGATAAATGGATAGATATAAATAGCCTAAGATAGATAGATAGATAGATAGATAGATAGATAGATAGATAGATAGATAGATAGATAGATAGAACAGACTAATATACATAAATGGATAGATATAAATAGACTAAGATAGATAGATAGATATGAACAGACTAAGATAGATAGATCTGAACATACTAAGATAGATATGAACAAACTAAGATAGATAGATAGATAGATAGATAGATAGATAGATAGATAGATATGAACAGACTAAGATAAATAGATAGCTATGAACACACTAAGATAGATATGAATAGACTAAGATAGATAGATAGATAGATAGATAGATAGATAGATAGATAGATAGATAGATAGATAGATACTTAATTACATACATCCATGAAAATGTCTGCAGCCTAATGGTGAATAAGTATTTATTTTACACAACAAATATTTATTTTTCAACATATTCTCCTTCCTTGACAATGCACCTGATCCAAATTGAACTAGTTAGTAAAGACTAAATATGATACATTGCCTATTTCTGATGAAACTTCAGTAAATAACTGTTTCAGGCTACAAACTTATTTGTCCACGTTTATATGTGGATACTATATGCACCCTACTCCTCTCAAAATGTACACACAATTTATTTGTTTATGGCAACATTTGTCATTACTTAGAAGCTAATTAAACACTTTTACGTCAACGAATTTATGTTGTAGTAGATATCAACTTTTCTTATCTCTTTAAATTTTTGTAATTAATTGCCATAACACAGAGGAGAATTACTCTTTTAATTCTGGTTACATACTCTTTCAGGTAAAAAAAAGAAGAAAAATATTTACTTTACTTTACAACTAAGTATTTTTCCCTAATATTTGAAATACTTAAAATAAAACATCAGTTAAATAAAAATATTTGATGCTTTCATTTATTTTCTAAAACCTAACTAATTTATTTTTATCTTGAAAACATCGAATATATTTTATCAGGAAATTGTTTAACTTAATTCCAATATAAAGATACCTAAATTATTTTTCATAGAAAAATGCCAAACTTATTTTTTTTAAATACCTAACTTATTTTTCTTATCTGTCTATATTTCTGAGATGAGGCATTATGTACACTATTTACATTATTCGGACTATTGTCCTCATCTTTGTCGCCATATTTATTACAATGTTTCGGCCATTTTACACTCCAGCCTTCTTCAGATGGTTGGAATGTCGAACTAAACCCTGTTGTAGTTCCATGTGCCGTGTTTAATGGATGTCAGTTATCTCATGTTAATTCCCCTCGCCAAGTTTTCCACTGCCTTAACCGTGTATTGAACTCACATTCTTTGGGTCCTGTTACTGGATCTAAGCAACACCTTTATCCATGTGTCCTTGAGGACATCTGTGTATGAATTTCTGGGTATTATAAAACTCAATATCTATGTTAGGGAAATATCAAACTTATTTTTTTTAGGAAAATGTCTAATTTATATTTCTAATATGTGCCTAATTTATATTTCTTTGGAAAAGGTCTAACTTATTTTTCTTAGGAAAATACCTCACTTATTGTTCTTAGGAAAATGCCTAACTTATTTTTATTATAAGAACATCTGTCTCATCTCTAACATAAAATCATTTTCATAATAAAATTATTATGAAAATGTTTAACTTAATTTTATTTTCAAAATACCTAACACATTTTTCTAAGGAAAATGTCTAACTTATTTTCATATGAGAATGGCACTAACATAAAAAAACATTTTCACAAAAAATTGTTATAAAAAGTGTTAGTTTAATATTTTATGAAAATGTGTAACACAATTCCATTTTGAAAATGTCTAATTTATTTTTCTCATGAAGATGACTGGCTAAATTTCAGGCAAGAACTTCAGTAGACTTTTCATGTTATAAAATCAAATGAACAACCAACCAAGCCAAAAACATCTGTGTCTGATATTAGCAAAACTACAATGAATACATTTTGGAACATTCTGTATATATATATATATATATATATATATATATATATATATATATATATATATATATATATGTATGTATGTATGTATATATATATATATATATATATATCACATATCATATAGGTATATGCATAAATCTGCATGAATGTACATAAGTTTGTCAATATGTTTTAGGATAGTAATAATAAAATCATTTATTTTGTACATCAAATTTCAACATACTTAAATTCCTTGTTAATGCACTTAATTCACAAGGAATGAAGATTATACAGTGAAAATTTCAGGTCAAGATTTATTTTATATTTATGTCAGGCTACAGACTTACTGATCTACTTTTACATAAAATTAGGCACCTCCTATCATATATATATATATACATACATACATACATATATATATATATATATATATATATATATATATATATATATATATATATACATATATATATATATGCAAGACTTAGGGAAAGTGATCAATATCTGTGATAGAGCTAACATATTCTGAGTTTGTCTGATGATCACAAAAGTGTGAAACTCTGGGTTACAAACTAATATCCCTACAACTGAATGTGTGTGTGTGTGTGTGTGTGTGTGTGTGTGTGTGTGTGTGTGTGTGTGTGTGTGTGTGATGTGTAAATTGTCGCCCTTTCCTATTTTTAATTTTTGCACATGAACATTTTTTTTTTATTTTGTCGACTGAACAGTATAAAAAAAGAGCACCATGACGTAATTCACTCTTCCAGAAATTTGATAATGATATGCTGTACTACTTGGCATTCACACTGTAAGCTCTAATACGAACATTTCAGTGTGTTTGGGTGTCAATCTGAGGACAATGCTGCGGATTCTAAAAGAGTTGGATGATATATACAGACAACATCCTAATGTTTGGAGTGATCACTAGTGATGTCAATATTAGATCTCCATTCATCTTCCCACAGAGCTTCAGTCTCAACACAGAGGGGGCTACATCAAGTGCTGTCAAAAGGTAATGCTGCTCTGGGTCAAGAGGGTGGCTATGTCTGGCAACAGGACTCTGCACCATGACACACAAGCAAGAAAACCCAGTCATGGCTGTCAGATAATTTCTGAAACTACATCATCCCTTACTTCTGGTCATTTAACTCCCCAAACTGCAACCCCCTTTGATTATTATGTGGGGGGGCACAGTTGAGCAAGAGACCAACAAAACTCCTTGTAACACCAAAGATGAATTGAAGGCAAGGATTATGGCAACATTTCCATCTTAAACAAGGAGACCATCCAAAGAGTTGCAGGAGATTCCTAGAAGGTTATGGTTGAAGTGAATGGTGTTTTATTGAATAAATTTACTCTTTAGTATTTCAAGATATTTTTGTATAATTTTGGTAAATATATCTGTTAAAATGAAATATGAATGTTATTTTCATTTTTGCATAATTTAGACAATAATTCAAAGCACCTTGTATATATATATATATTTCTGTAGTTCACTGCAAAAAATATTTCTGTAGTTCAAGCAAAAAATTATTTTTCTCATGAGGATGGCCATGTTGGCCGAAACTAGTCGAGGAATCTAAATGAAATAATAATAAAAATGAAGGAATATTAATATACAACCCAGTGTGTCTGAAGATTTTAAATTTTTTATATTTTTTATTGTTCAAAATATATATATATATATATATATATATATATATATATATATATATATATATTGACTCTCCCATTGAATTCGACATATGAGGATCAAGTAGATCAGTTCCTAGGAAACCAACAGCCTGACAACAGCACATGAGATTTGATTATAGTGGTGAACGTTTCGTATACAGAGACCTGGTGCACTACATGCAACAAAGTCCCCAAACGACCCTCTGTAGGTTTTGAATTCAGAGTTGTCCTTCTCCTAGACCAGTTGCCATCCAAGGCTATAGAACCCAGTCTGTCCTGCTATTTACCCATAGCTGGAGGGAGAAGAATAGGATTCATACCTTTCCCAAGGGTATTAGCATGTAAGTGAATGTAATGGATTCAACTGGAATTCAAACTCGGCTCTCCGATACCTCAATCCTAGTGGCTATCCATTACTTACCATACCTCTTATATATATATATATATATATATATATATATATATATCATTGCTAGTTACTCATTTCTGAACACACCTATCTGCCAGGGCAACTAACAAATCTGTATTACAGATACCCGCAAAGTGGGTTGTTGAGCAGGCATCTGTGGTTTATACTGCAATTATATATGATGAGCACAATTTGTTTCATTTTCTTGGAAGGAGCACATAATCTGTCACTATCAGTTTTTTTTACAAGACCAGCATACACCAACCCTTGATCTGTGACTATGTATTTCAAGTTACAAGGCTTGGGTTAATCTGTAATAGGGTTTACATGTACTTTACAAATCACTCGCCACCCCCCCCACACACACTCTCTCTCTGTGTCTTTATATATATATATATATATATATATATATGCATGTGTGTGTATCTGTGTGTATGTGTGTGTGTATGGATGTGTGTACATATATATATATATGCATGTTTACATGTGTATGTGTGTGTATATATACATATATATATATATATAAGAATATAAAAGTAAAAAATTTTCAATCTCTTAACAATATTATATATATATATATATATATGTGCGTGTGTTTGTGCGTGTGTGTCTGTGTATATATACATATATATACATACATATATTTGCAATGTAAATATCTGTATATATATATATATATACATACACACACATATATAAATATATATATAATATTTGCAATGTAATTATTTGCAATGTAATTATCTATAATATTAACACTGACACAATATATATATATATATATATATGTATATATATATATATATATATATATATATATATATATATTACTATTCTGAACATAATCTTAGTGGATACAAACGTTTGAGTAGATGTCCTGTTTTCTTTAAACAATGAAAATTCTATTGACATGTCTGTGCAATTGAAAGACTAAATGGATAATAAACTCTGGATAGGATTTGAACATACCTGACCCCTTTGTAGGGGAAACCACAGCTACTGCAGAAGTATTATGAAATACTGACAGATTAAAAATGCATGCATTAATTCCTTTTGTGCATGTCTGTCTGTCTCTGTGTATGTGTGTGGATAGATAGATAGATAGATAGATAGATAGATAGATAGATAGATAGATAATGAACAACCTGAGATAGATAGATAGATAGATAGATAGATAGATAGATAGATAGATAGATATGAACAAACTAAGATAGATAGATAGATAGATAGATAGATAGATAGATAGATAGATAGATAGATAGATATGAACAAACTAAGATAGATACATACTTATAGATAGATAGATAGATAGATAGATAGATAGATAGATAGATAGATAGATAGATAGATAGATAATGTACAGAGTGAGATCGATTACATGCCTTAATATTTGAATCCTTATATTTTTAAATATAGATTCCTGTTCTTCAGTCTTGTCGAGGGACATCAGAGCCATTCACTGCGAGTTAAAATACCATCGGCTGATCGGCAACAAAACTGACCGCGTCGCTGTTTATATGAAAGGAGATAGGTAAAGAAAGAAAAAATAACTGATAAGTAGCTTGATAACTAAAAAAAAAATGTAAAGGTAAGAAGGTTGTTGGGTAGGTAGGTGGGTATTATCAACGTTACAGGTGTATGAATAAAAAAAATATATAAGAAAGGGCGAGAAATGTGCGGGTGTGCTTCTTGTATAAACTTGAGTTTCTGTTTTTACGTTAGTAAATAAATATTTGTTGAGTGCGAAACATATCACAGTATTTATTCTTGTTTGTGTATGTAGTTATTGAAACAGGTTGTGTATAAATGTGTGTATGTGTGTACATACTCGAAGATAGATAGATAGATAGATAGATTACATTGTAATCATTACAATAAAACTTTGTAAAAATTATTATACTAACATAATCAATCCTGTTATTTTATTTGTGCAAGTGTTAAGCAATAAGCAAAAATATTAAACAATTTAAAAATGGGAATTCCGAACCTTTGCGATATATATATATATATATATATATATATATATATATATATATATATATAAAGTTTATATATAAAGAAAGTTTTAAAGACATTCATTGTTTTAAAATCTAAGCTGCTAGAAAAGATTTGTTTCTTATCTTGAAACGAACATGTTCACACAAAGGCCGATGAGTAATTCGTTTCATTGCATCACTAAATGGAAATCTATTGTGAATTGTGCCGTATTTTTTTCGTTTTTATTTTACAATTGAACTACTAACAAAAAGATATCATGCCTTAGACGTATAAAAAAAATAAGGAACTCGAAGGCGTAAGTATAATTCTATACTTTCAAATTTAAGTAGGTCAAATTAACCACCACGCCCGTTCACTATAAATACTTTCATGGTAATTAATACTGATGAAGTCCCCCTCTATGATAGCTAGACTTTATGAATTTAAGCGCACTACTAGATTGGCCTTACCTTGTTATAGTTGAAATGGCTCGATGTATCCGTAAGTTCTATGCTAACAGTTTCTTCTCTCGCACTTCTCAATTGTAGAACTCTCTCTCTCTCTCTCTCTCTCTCTCTCTCTCTCTTTTTGTTTTCCAATCAATTTTGATTTTCAGACATTTAAATGCAATACCAGTCACTATCTTCTGTGTTCTTAATTCCAGTTCTTTTTGTTGTTCTTTCTCCTAAATGATGTTTTGTTCTTTCTCATATTCTTTTGCAGTTATAACAGGAGAGACTAGGAAGAAAGATTTATTCTCCTATTTGTATTTCCCCCATTATGGGCATTATTATATTTCTAATATAATAAAAAAAAAATGAGTAATATATAACATTATAATGGGATACAGCTAAGGAAGAAAGATTTATTCTCCTATTTGTATTTCCCCCATTATGGGCATTATTACATTTCTAATATAATAACAAAATGAGTAATATATAACATTATAATGGGATACAGCTAGGGAAGAAAGATTTATTCTCCCGTTTATATTTCCCCCATTATGGTCACTATTATATTTCTGATATAATAACACCGTATGGAACGAAGTAGCTGAAAGGAAAAGGAATGACAAACATGTTTTGTTCCCACAGTGACTTTTATATCACTAAGACATACACAAAACTATATATATATATATATATATATATATATATATACTCGTGTATCACACAAAGAACAATATAACATAAGCAGAATGTAAGGAGAACGAAAAGATAGGGTTTTACATATATTATGAAGATTTTTCTGTGTTTCTGGAGAAGCCATGTTTAGGACCACAGATTCAAACGAGCCGGATTCATCTACTATGTCACGGGCGAGGACATATTCCGCGAACGGAAAACAGCGAGTCTTGGGTTTTTCCAAATTGAAAACTGCGATCCGGAGTTTATTTCTATATCTGGTTAAGTTATATTCCCAAAGGGAAACGGCACCATGAACTTTTAATCTCCATGAGAGAAGAAATTTAACCTCAGCCCAGGCTAAAAAAAAAAAAAAGCATCCTCTCGATTTGGCTTTTGTAAACTGACTGAATGACTGGCCACTTTCGTCACTGTATGACGTGACGTCTCCAAGCAACCGTCACGCGAACCATATGACTATCTCGACTAGAGAGAAATAATCGCTTCTTGTATCACCACACAATCAGTAGACTTTGCGTCTTAGTGGGTTTGTCGCCTTGCTTGGGGTAAAATGAATAAAAATAAAATAAAAACTAGAATAGTCCGTATCAGAACTGTACAATTCGACTCTTGCAGTGTTGTGTCTTATAAGCATTGTATTACATACTTCCCTATCCAGCCTTGATAGAGTTTAAAAGTATCTTCGTACCTTGTGAGTGATGAATTATTTTCCGCCCTCCAACCCTTTTCTCACAGACGAAACGTCACCAGCCTCTCACTGTTCTATCGCTATTTCCATGGCATGGGTTCTGACAAGCTGCATTCCTTGGTTCCACCCTGAGATGACCTTTGCAGCTGGGAGCCACCATGTTACATACACGGGGATGAATAATTCCCTTTGTATTCCATTAATTAGAACCAAATTCTGCTCAGGCAGCTTCTTCCCAAGAACTGCAGTGGAAGGATGTTTTCCCAATCACGACAATCTTGACCTCTTCACGTCTAGGGCTTACTGTTATCTTTTTTTCTTTTTCTTTTTTCGACATAACCTCATGAACTGCACTTCTTGCATTTTGTTACGCTCATTGCTCATACAAACCCTCTACATTGAGTGGCTCTTGGGTTTTGTAATTGGTGAACATTATTTAAAATTAAAAGAAAACCACCAATGGAACAATCTTAAATTCAATTCTTTTGACTGGAACCGTCCAAGAATGGCGTTTATTTAGCAGTGGGCGTTTTAAGACTTAAATTTCACATCTTGAATCTAAGATTCCTTTAAGATAAGTTTGGCCCGTAAGATCAACTAAAAGCTTGTAATAACCTCTTTTTCTTCTTGTGTATACTGTTGTTTATAAATCTGTTAATTAATTATCCTCGTGTTTGTCCTTCTTTTTTTAATTGGTATCACTCCACGCAAGGCAGTAAAGTCCCTAAGACACAAGGTTGTCGATGAATTAGGAACAGAAACATTACTAATGAGCGGGAAGAGAAAAGGGTCATCGGGAAGACATTAGATGGCGATTGAGATTGCATTTAAATTTTTGCAGATTAAAGTTGGCTGGAAAGCATGGAACCGGAAGCAAGTTCCACAAGCGAGAAGTGCGAGAAAATAAACTGTTAGCATAGAAATTACGGCTACATTTAGCCAGCTCAACTGTAAATTGATGCAATCTTGATATTACACCGATCCCACCTCTCTTAGTACAATGTGAAAATTGCTACTACCGGGTAAGAGTTGCTGGAACCAAGGGCCTTCCATTTTTTAATGGGTATCACTCCATGCAAGGCCGTAAAGTCACTAAGACACAGGGGGGTTACAGAGTGTAGAAGAATTAGGTACAGAAACATTACTAATGAGTGGAAAGAGAAAATAGTAATTACGAGTACAGTAGATAGCGATTGACATTGCATTTAAATTTTCACAGATTAAGGTTGGCTGTAAAGCATGGAGCCGGGAGGGAAGTTCCTCAAGTGAAAAAGTGCAAGAAAATAAACTGATTTCTGTCTGTTAAATTTCTTCCACTTGATACAGCAATATTAGTATTATGCATACTTCAACGATTACTAAAATCCTAGCCTCTTCAAGTCTAGGGTACCCTTATCTCTCCTATATATCGTCATAATCTTCACTTCTTGCATCCCCACCATACGTTCATACAACTACTTCATTCAGTAACCCTCTACCTTGAGGGACTCTTGAGCCTTGTGTTGGATGATTATTTCATAAAAACTATTTGGCTCTAAAATTGATATACTCTATTTATCTAAACATATATATTTGCACATGAAGACTCGAACCACATTAAATGCACTAAAATTCCCGCGTATTTGCGGACTTGCTTATCAGTAATTATTATGTCATACGTATTATGGTAAGTAAATAAGTTTTAAAGATATATAATTGTAGCTAAGTAGATTTCCAAGAATCAGTAAATAAAATGGGACAATCCTTGTGCACAAAAAAAGATTATCAAAGTGTGATCAGAGGTGGCTGCCATCCACTTGTTAGGGCTTGTATCCCACTCCTGCTTTTTTGAAACAAGAGACACACTGCAACATTTCCGTTAGCTTTTATTCAAAATCACGTCCTTGTTGCAAACAACGATTCTGTCCTATTCGGCCATTTTGTAATTAATTGGGTTGTTTATTAGTGTGGGCTTGGGGCTCGGTTTTCTTGTCTTTGTTGCGGGATTACTAGTCTGTTTGGGTAAATATTGGTCACTATTATGTTGTGGGAATCAACACTTTGGGCAGCAAATATTTACGGGCTCCTGGAAAACTTATCCCGCAAACAATATTGGCGGAATCAGTGTGAGTCCAGGCAAAATGAGTGACACACAAAATAATAAATATAAAACAAACTTCAATGCATGTATTAACAAAATGAATTACATGTGAAGACAATTGTAACGAACAGAAAAGGCAAGTTATGATAAGAATATGTGTGTGTGTGCATCTCTGTGTGGGTCTGTGTATGTGTGCCTATGTGTGCGTGTTTCTGTGCGTGTGTCTGTGTGTGTGTGTTTGTGAGTGTGTGTCTGTCTCTGTGTGTGCGTGTGTCTGTAACAGGTGTGTGTGATAGACATGTGTGTGTATATGCATGTGTGAGAGAGTGCAAAAGTCAAGAGAGGAAAAACCATAAAATGAACGTGTGTGCCAGTGGGGGGTGGGGACACTTTACCCACGTGCAACTACATCTGAAAGCAAGATTTGAAAAGAGGGTGAGTGGGAATATCATTCCGTGTTGATAGGCTCAAGGAGCGATGGAGTAAGCCACATCTTATACGTACATTTGATAGGACTTTACAATTTGATTGGACTTTTACACACCTGAAAACGTTTT